CGGCTGGGCCCGGATGGGCGCCCTGGCCGGCGGCGGCGGCGCCCATGGACGCTAACCGCCCGGGCGCGTTCGTACTTAGCAGCGCACCACTGGCTGCGCTGCACAACATGGCCGAGATGAAGACCTCGCTGTTCCCCTATGCGCTGCAGGGACCTGCCGGCTTCAAAGCGCCCACGTTGGGCGGCCTAGGAGCGCAGTTGCCTCTTGGCACCCCGCACGGTATCAGCGACATTCTGGGGAGGCCAGTGGGCACGGCGGGCGGTGGCCTCCTGGGGGGCCTGCCCCGCCTCAACGGGCTAGCCTCGTCGGCCGGCGTCTACTTCGGACCTGCAGCCGCCGTGGCGCGTGGCTACCCCAAGCCGCTGGCCGAGTTGCCTGGGCGCCCGCCTATCTTCTGGCCCGGCGTGGTGCAGGGCTCGCCTTGGAGGGACCCGCGCCTGGCCGGCCCGGGTAAGTAGTCTGCGCGGGGTTCGGCGCGGGCGGACTGGTGGTGTGGCGCTGGCCGCGCTCATTCACCCTCCTTCACAGCCCAAGGCACTGGGATCCTGGACAAGGATGGCAAGAAGAAGCACTCGCGGCCGACTTTCTCGGGCCAGCAGATCTTCGCACTGGAGAAGACCTTTGAGCAGACCAAGTACCTGGCGGGCCCGGAGCGCGCACGACTCGCCTACTCTCTGGGCATGACTGAGAGCCAGGTGAAGGTGAGCGCAACCGGGGAGGTCTCCGCGGGATCCTGCTGGGCCGAGGCTGGCTCCGGAGCCCGCGTCCTGCGAAGGACTGGCAAGCAGCCGCCCGGCCTCTGCCTGGCCGGCCAGCCAGGCAGGTCCGCGGTTGCAGACGGCAGGATTAGGGCTGGGGCTCCGAGAGAGAGCGAGGCACAGGGCTGGGAGCTTCGGAGGCCAATCTGATGATTCCCCTCCATCCCAGGTGTGGTTCCAGAACCGGAGAACCAAATGGCGGAAGAGGCACGCGGCAGAAATGGCATCGGCCAAGAAGAAGCAAGATTCAGATGCGGAGAAGCTGAAGGTGGGCGGCTCCGACGCAGAGGACGATGATGAGTACAACCGGCCCCTGGACCCCAACTCTGACGACGAGAAGATCACGCGGCTGCTCAAGAAGCACAAACCCTCGAACTTGGCGCTGGTCAGCCCATGCGGCGGTGGCGCGGGGGACGCCTTGTGAGGCCTCGTCCAGGCCATAGAACCAGGGTACCGGGCGCGGCCGGAGCCCCGACGTCAGCTGCCGCGCCGCAATGTGTATATATATTTTTTACAGAATAAGTTATAAAGCGGCTCGGCTCCGGTGCGACGTGCGGGGGTCCGGCGGCATCCCTTCCCGTAGGCGTGGGGTGGGCGGATCACTTTGTATAATCAATAAATTATTTAACACGTCCCGGTAGGAGCCACGGCTCCCGAGGCTGCACCGCGTGTTTTTTCCACAACGAGCGAGATGCCTGTGGGCAGCCCGTCCCCTCCTGCCGCTGTCCTGTCTGTTCTCCCAGCCTGGCGCCTAGGCGCGGCGCTGGAATGCACGGTGGTAGCGCGCGAAGGACCCGGGGCCCCTTGTGTGCACCCGGGTTTGAAGCTGCGGGCTCTGCGGAGCCTGGGAGTTCGGAGACTGCCAGACCGGCAGGACTCGAGCACGTAGCCTGCAACTTCGGGCGTCCAGAAGAAGGGACCGAGCCACAGCAAGAGGCGCAAGGCGGAGCGGCATAGATCTGGGCGCTCAGCAGGCGTGGCCCCGCGGCAGGTACGGATCTCACCTCCCGCGGCCAGAGCCTTGGCTCCTGGCACCCAGAGGCAGGCGATGCACCATGCAAGGCGTCTTCAGTTGCGTTGGTTTGGATGGATGAGGTTTGGAGAGACTAAAACACACTGGGTTTTTCCAAAAGCCGAGTAAGCCGTGAGCCTGCCCACCCACACCCAGGGAGGCACTGTTTTTTTTTTCAGCCTGGGGCAGTAAGCGGTGCCCAGTTTCTCTGATCTGCTGCTGAGCTTCAAGCCCAGTCGGCTCTGCTTCTATGTTCTCTGCCTCGGGTGCAGGCATTTTGAAATGATTATTTTTAAAAGTCCTTTAGTCAGAAAATGAAGTATTTCGAATTTGCCTGCTAAACGCACATGTGGTGAAACGGGTTGAGATTCTACATTATGGTCCTTTGGCTACCGTGTTAATAGATTTTTCACTGCTAGAAAGTACTATTTTGTTCCAGCTAAAATTGCAAAGAGAAGTCCAAAATAATTGTGCCCGCTGAGGGCCAGCTCACAAATCTCCACGCTGAACCACCCTAAAACGGCTTCCAAGCCTTCACCCCAGATGCTGAGGGCAGGCCCCTTAGGAGGGTACATAGGGGACAGCCAGCCACCACTGTCCTGCACCATAAGCAGTATCCTCACCGAGCAGTATGCCCACCAGTTATAAAAGGCACCCACTGCATTACCAAAAACCAATATGCTGTGGCCAGACTCTGGCTGATGCTCCACAGCCGTATCTTAATGGGCACTAATGTTTTAATTTCACGTTATGTGAAAATAACTATATTACTACAATTACAAGATTTCTCTTGGAACAAACTTTCAAAAACATTTCAGAGAAATGTAAAAGGCTTAAATTTGGGTGGTTTTTTTTTTTTTTAACCACTAATTTTGCTGTACCGCTAGTTTAAAGAAACATTTCTCACATTTTGAGCTGACCAATTTTCTTTAAAAGGGAGCTACTTCTTAAAAAATATTTTAAGGGCTTGGAGTGTCATTTCTGTGAGGGAACCATTCTGTTGGCTTAAAGAGCAGA